ACAACTTCCCAGGAGCTGGGGCTAAAGTGAGCGCAAAGTGTGCCCAAGTTGCCGGCATGGCGCTGCAGAGCCGGCCCGAGGCGCTCCCGGTGGAACTCTCACGCCACCAGGTAGGTGGCTGCGGGATCTGGGGAGGCGGGAGCCCAACCCAGATCTCCGTGGCTGGGGTGTCGGGAGGGAACCCCTGGGAGCCTGTCCAGCAATGGGAGTGCGCACGGACCCGCCCCCGCGCGCCCCTCCTGGCTTCCGGAACAGTTCTGCACAGTTTGAGGGATCAGGGGCCCGCGAGAGACCCGAGACCTCTTTTTTCTCGTTGTAAAGGTGCATGTGCATGTCTGGGGGTGTCAGAGGCGTCTCCCATGAGCCTGCCCTGCGGTGGGAGTATACACGGATCCCCGGGCGCCCCTCCTGCGCCTCTCCGTGCAGTCCTGTACAATTTAGGAGGCCTTAGGGGGCGGGGACTCTAGGGATCTGAGCCCAGGGACTTCTCTTTCATCTGAAGATCTTAGTAGCTGGGGTGCCGGAAGGGGCCCCTAGCGAGCCTCTTGGGGGTGGGGAGTGTGCTACGTTTCCCCAGGAGCTCCCTCCGGGCCTTAATGCACAGTTTGGGGGCGGGGGAAGCTGGGGGTTAGGGTAGCTAGGGGGAACTTGCCTTTTTTGTAGTGGGGTCTGCGATCGGGGTTTCGGGAGCCCCCCTCCCCAGCAGGCTCTGGGCGGCGGAGGTGCCGGCCCCCAGGCCCGTCTGACCCTGCACAGTTTGCATAAGTACTTTTGCAGTCTGGGGCTGCTCGGCCGGGGCAGGCGGGCTGGCGGCGCGCGGGTGTTCGTCGGAGAGATTAGGACGCGACTGGAATATTTATGAGCTTTGCTCGACACGGACTCGCAGTGTTTACTTGGCTCTTTGTTCCTCCCCCCTCCCCGGAACGCACTCACACTCACACTCACACTCCCCCGCACACTCGGCCGGCCTCCAAACTTGCTGCGCTCCGGGCGCCGCCGCCGGTGGCCTCGGCCCGCCGCCCGCCGCTGCCCCGATGAGGCGGCAGCCACAGGTAAACGGCTCCGTGCCGGCCGCCACTCGCGCCAGGACACGCGGGGAACTTGAGAGCTAGCGGCGGGCGCCCGGTAGCGGTGGGGATGGCTGGGGGGGGCGGTGATCCGGGAGGTGAGGGGCGCCGGGGCCACTCAGCCCCCTGGGGGCTGCCGCCTGAGCTTGCTCCTCCGTTTCTCTGCAGAACGGCGACCTTAAGAAGCAGCTCCACGACAGGCCGCGGGTCGCAGCGCTGAACGACAAACAAGTAAGAGAGAAAGCGGTTGCCTCCCCACCGCCAGCTCGGGTAGCAGGCCGGGGAGGGGTGGCGACACTTTGGCAGCACCCTAAAAAGTGCCAGCCCAGGAACCATGCGCCAGACTCCCCGGAGGGACCTGCCCCCATCCTCAAAGTTGCGGGCACCTCTTTTCTGCCGGGGGAGGGATGGAGGCGAGGGGACCCGAGGCCCGGATGGCCAAGAGCGACCGGCTGCGCTTAGAAGGCGGCGCGCGCCCGGCGTCCATTTTGAGGTAGTGGACATGTTTTGGAAATGTGGACATTTACCCGATCGGCGTCCCATCTCTTGCAGGGAGCCCCGAGGGTTAATGCGGGCCTGGAGGCCCAACTCTTGGGAAGCGGTTTCGGGGCTGGGATGCAAACCATGCTCCAAAGGCCGACACTCCCACCCTTGCCTCCCTCCTCCTCCCTCCACTTCGCTGGCTCCACTTTTGATTCTTGGAACTGACGCCAGTTCCGGGGAACAAAAGAAAGGCGCCCCAAGGACACTCCATATCTGTCCCAACTTTAGTGTCTGGGCGTTAGGTGGAAACAGGCCCCCCCGCGTTAGCAGCTCCCGAGGGGCGCGCGGCCGCCGGGCCCCTCCGGGAGCAAAGTTGGCCATTGTGACTTAGTTGCGCTGAGCTCAGCGCTCGGGCTTTCA